TCCGTACCAGATACTCGTCTGAAATGAGTATCCGGCTCATCCCCAACGTCATCAGTGAAGAACCCAGGGTCATAGGGTGTTTCAGGTCTTTAATCTTCATACACTTCAGCCACTGCGAGGCCCTCTCTGCGGCCTCGAGGATGGCTATGGTGGCTTTCTTCAGTTTCAGTCCTCTTACTCCAACAAGTTAGACGGTTTGCAGCACTGAGTGGCCAGCAAAGCCTGGGCACCCACCCCCGACAGGCTCACAACGAACTTTCCAGCTGTTGTTCTAGCACTCAGAGCTCAGCTCTGCATACGTGGCCCTCTTTCACTCGTGGGCCTCTTCGATGCAGTCTTCCCAAGGGACTGTCAGTTCTAGGATGACCGCTTGCTTGGTGGACTCAGATGTTATCACCATGTCTGGGTGGAGAGACGTAGCTGTGATGTTTTCTGAGAACTTGAGCTGTCTACCTACATCAACTTGAAACTGCCAATCACGAGCGGTAGAGAGAAGCCCCCCCTCGGAGCTGGGCCGGTGGTATTGTGCCTTCTGCCCTGCTTTAACAAAGGTGATAGCTTGTTGGGGAGCTGCCTGGGTCTCGCTGTGCTGGATTGAGTCCGCCAAAGCTTTAAGCACCTGGTCGTGGCGCCAGCGGTACCCTCCCCTAGCGCTTTGAGCAAGATGTGCTCCAGGGTGCCTCTCTTCTGGCGCAGCTTACACTCGGGAGTGTCAGCCAGTCCCCAGGTGTGTAGGTCGGCTGGGCTTGGGAGGATGTCATAGACAGACTGGACAAGGAATCTGATCCGAACAGGCTTGGCTTTCCAAAGCTCTGTCCAGGAGATTCTGCGGGACTCTGCATGTTCCCACCTGGTCCACGCTCCTTGTTTGGACATGCCGGCCATTTTGGTGCAGCGTTCTTCTTCCACCTCAGCTCGTATCTCATCCTGAATCTGGCTGTGCCTCTCTTTTCCACGAGCCAGATTGTAGCATGGCGTAGGAACACAACCAAGACCTGCTCGTCCCGTAGCCACTGATCCCACCAGTCTTTTGTACCTTAGCCGCGCTTCAGCTTTACTGATCGCCTCTTGCGCCCGCCACTTCCTCCCAGTCTTCACAAGGATTCCTGCCGCTGCAACTTTTGTGTCTCTGGAGTCCCTGTACATAAGCACCTCTCTCGAGCTGGTAACCTTGAACTCCTCCGTTAACCCGCTCAAAGGAAGATGCAGCTTGGTGGAATGGCCGTACAGGGCAACACTGCTCAGGGACCGAGGGAGCCCAAGCCATCCCCTGAGGAACTGGCTGATGGACTTCTCTAGAGCCTCGACAGTTGAGATTGGTACCTCGTAGACTAACAAGGGCCAGAGGATTCTTGGCAAGACTCCGTGCTGGTAGGTCCAGGCTTTAAATTTCCCAGGAAGGCCAGATTTATCAATAGTGGAAACCCAGGTCATCAGGTCTTGCTTAGCTTGTTTTATTGCAGCTGAGTCCTTCAGGCAGCTGTTAAAGACTTTACCCAGGCTCTTGACAGTCACTGACGGAATCACAATTTCTCCCAGGACAAAGCGAAAACAGTCGAAACTTTATCCTTCTTCAGGACCAGACACCTGCACTTCGCGGGCTTGAAGCTCATTTTTGCCCAGGAGGTGAGCCGATCAAGTCCCTGGAGGAGCCGCCTGCACCCTGGGACAGATGTGGTCATTACTGTCAAGCCATCCATGAAGGCTCTTATGGGGGGCTGGTGAGTGCCAGACCTTGACTTGGGTCCTCCACAGTCCACCTCGGCCGACTTGACAATCATGTTCATGTCCAGTGAGAAGAGGGAAACAGTCATTGTGCAGCCAGTGATTATCCCCTTTTCCAATTGGTGCCAGGAGAATGTTACTTGCCCTGATGAGACTCGCACACTGAAGTTATTTTGGTAGTCCATAATGAGATTGCGGAACTTGACAGGAACATGATGTCTTACCAGTGCGGTTTCAACCAGCTTGTGTGGAATAGATCCATAAGGATTGGCCAGGTCCATCCAGATAACTGACAGATCTCCTTAGCCTCCCGGATCCGCTGTGTCACCACCCCTGTGTGCTCCAGACACCCAGGTACTCCTGGAACTCCTCCCTTTTGGACTGAGGTGTCAATGTAGTTTTTCAAACGCTGGCACACGATCTTGAAGATCGGATAAAGGACAAGATAACCGTTTAAAATGTGTTTCAACTGCTTCAGGAGCTTGGAGCTGCCACCTGGTGGACATTAGAGAACGTTGCAGATTCCTTCAGTACAACAGCAGTGATTTCCATCAAACAAGAAGTAAGAGATTAATTCAGAACATACAACCTGGTTTCTAGTACATTTTTTACACATTAAAACATTTAAAACTTAAATAAATAGCTCATGTGATTTGGTGTTAACGCAACAAGGACAAAATTCAAAATAAAGCTATCCACTAAAGCTAGCGTGGCCTAGTGCTGCCCCCTGTTGGAGGTTATGGTGCGTAGCAAAACAATACATCAAAAAAGCTGAATACACAAATCTGCTTTTTAGTAACTGCGTGTCATGTTTAAACAATTATATAAAGCTAAAAAATCCCACATGTGATTTATTAACACAACAGGGATCATTTTCAAAATAAAGCTATCAAACAATACATTTATAAAATATTTTAAAGCTAGCACAGCTGAGTGCTGCCACCTGGTGGGCATTAAAGTGCATCACAGCTCATCACATCGCAACAGAAAGATTTCCATCAGATATTAATGTTCATTTTCCAATTAATAAAAGCTTATTTTGAAATAATTCAAACTACGTAATTTGTTTTGTGAGCAGAAAAACTGAATAGATATTTTTAGCCTTGAAGCTGACGAACACTTCACACACTGTGCGTGTGTGTGTGTGTGTGTGTGTGTGTGTGTGTGTGTGTGTGTGTGTGTGTGTGTGTGTGTGTGTGTGTGTGTGTGTTACAAAATAAAAGTCTGGGTTTAGTGCCATCAGGACAGTGTGATAGGACATTTACCACAAAAGCTGTGCCAGCAGACCACTTCTGTTTTCCTGCTGCTCATCTTTCCTTTTCTCCTAAGACTGAGAACTCTCCACATCATTCCCTCTGCCTCTTGCAGGGAGAAACCAGGACACATATCTCCCTGTGGAAATGCTGTCTTGGCTTTATGATTGGCACAAAGCTGTCCACTGGATGTCTCAGTTTACACACAATGACAAGTAATGCACCACCAACCTTCTGAAATAATTCTGCTCCTCTACAAGCACGGTTCTTTGCTGGAGTTTGACAGAAACCAGCAGAGGTGGAAAGTAACGAATTACATTTACTCACGTTACTGTAATTGAGAAGCATTTTTGTATATTTATACTTTTTAGGTCATTTTTTAAAGTTGTACTTTTACTTTTACTTGAGTAAGTTTTAAAAAAGAATTGTAATTTGCTACATTTTAGATCATATCCGTTACTGAGTAACAATAAAATAGGCTGCTTCAGCCCCTGTCATCCACTCGCTGTTTACCTCCTCTACTATGGATTGGAACCCGCACCTTCGCTACGTCATCAGAAATCTGCTCGGTTCGGTAGCCGGACTCCGTGTTTGCAACGTGTTTCCCTACCGCTCCGCACGGATCGTGGCAAAATAACGTTTAGCGCTCCTACAAGCGGATTCTCAGCGTTCTGCTCATAAAACAGAAGACCTGCAGGCCTCTGTGAGTTAAAACATCCTGATACTGTTCAGGTGTAAACATTGAGCTCCATCCCTGTGTTTGAACTCAGAAGATGCTTCTTGATGCCACAGATATGTGATGATTTAGCTTGTTTCTTTATTTTAGTCCAGAATAAGAGATTAAATTATTGCTAAAGCAGTTCAGTGTAGTTAAATTAGTCATGACGTGTGTGTGTGTTACACATATAGGACTGCATGAGACAGCGTGGTTTCATCAAATCCATGCATTCCTATATCTTGGCTGAAGTAATGGCTCAGGAAAATAACATACTTCATACATAATGACGTCTCTGCAGTGTTTATGATAATGTTTTATCTTATCTTTGGTCTGGGAGGTGTAACATATCATGATACAAGCCTTTTAAAACATGATAAAGTGTTACAAGAGGAGATGAATGCATGAATCTAAAGTTCATGTTTGGAGGTTCATGCTGGTGAGGAGACACCGTTAGTTCTAGTAACACCTGGGCTCCCAAGGCCTGTTCTGACAGAATGGACGTTACGGGACCCTTAAGGATTCCAGTTGGATGATTGGAGGATTGGAATGGACAAACTGATTTCAGTGGTGAAGGGTTAAATGAGTGAGTGAACCCACCACCAAGGATGAACTCTGCTAGCTTTAAAAATCAGCTGCTCTAAATAAGCATGAAGGTCAGAGAGGAGCTCTAGGATGGACACGGATAAAGGAACTGTTGTAGAGGTAAAGTAGGGCAGAGCCAACGTTAGCAGCTGTCATACGATCCATCTGAAATTTATTTGGCTTTTGTGACAGGTTAGAGCAGTCATGGTAAGAGTTTGACAAGACATTTAGATACCTCACATGCTGATTACATCTTAAAATCAGTTTTTTCTAACGAACCACCACAATTGAAACCTTCATTCCTAGATAAGCCTCATCCAATGTGCATGTCCTGTTCTCACGGAGTAGAAATCCTTCCAAACTGTACATGAGCATGTTGTGATTTTGCACTGACGTAGCCATCTTATCGCTGACAAATTACGATTTTACTTTTCAGGAAAAATCTACAAGTATTGGTAGGAAATATTTGGAAACCAGCGATTAAAGCACAATTGCTACTTTACATTTAGAGGCAGCATGTTTAAAGCTGATTAAGATTTAATTCATTTCAGTCTAAATCCCAGAACGCTGTTGCCTCTTTAAAGTGTAGCCCAGCTCAGTTAGAGCCCGTTTTCACTTATTGCAAATTTTACAGCATTTATTCCAGACATCTGTAAGAACCCAAATCAAGTCTTCCATAAATGTTTAAATTAGCTGTTTCTAACTGGCTTCAACACGGGACATAAAGTTATAAAAATATTCTTTATTTTTAATCACATTTCTATAAAAACAAGTAAAAAAACCAAGCCGGCAATTTTAGAACCAAGTTACAGTTTGTGCTGTGTGAGCCTGCTCCACTTGGTCTCCAGATGACCATTTGGGAAGTTGGGATAAGCCACCATCAACTGAGGAGCAGGTTTAGAGATCTGCTGCAGCATCTGGCCTTCTGCTTGCTTCTGGTTGTCAGGCTCCTTCACTCGTCTGATAGCAAAGCCACCATACTGGCTGGGGATCTCGTAGACCGTAGCAGAATCCTGAGGAACACCCATCCTAACGCTCCTGGGGACAGCAAGGCCCAGGGAGGTGCGACCGGGTGCAGAGGCGTGCAGCCAACTCCTTGCCTCGGAACCTTGATTTGGTGCAACATTCCTTAGAAATGAACTCCCAGCCCTTCGTCCTGGAGATGCACTGTTGGAGTAGACCCTTTTCGCAGGACCACGAGCATATGTTTGCATCTTCACAGACCCACGAGATCCAGGAGCAACTGGGCCAAATAGGAAAGCTGGTGAGCCCATTTCACTGAACTTGGTCGGTTTCTCAGCTGCAGACAGAGAAGCGGGACTGGAGTAGCGTTCCCTGGAAGTACTCAGAGATGTAGAGTAAGAACGTGGCGAACCCCTCACATCAGCCCAAGCCCTCTTCCTTCCAAGATGCTTAGGTTCAGCTTGGGCATTGGCCCGGAGTGAAGCTGGGCGTCGCCCACTGGTTCTGGGCACCAAGTGACTCTTGACCAGCCTTGCTGAACCCTGAGCTGGCTGGGAGAGGACTTCCAGGTAGCTGCTAGTGGAGAGTCCTTTGCTAGAACCTTGTTTAACTGAAGGCCCAACATTGGAGACGTGGTTTTTGAGCAAATTTGGGGAAACAAGGATTCGTCTGACTTTGTTCTGGGGATTACTGAACTTTCTTGGTTCCTCATCCAGTCGCTGGAGGCCAGCATATGTGTTGCCATGTTGGAAGCGCTGGGCTGCAGGAGGAGGGACAGCATTACAAGGAGCAGTGATAGAAGGCTAGCCAGTGTTTTACCACCAGTAGTACTCCTACCTTCATTTGGCAATGAACACCACACATGCTCTGCCTGAACCAAGACAATTAGCAAGAGCCTGTTCAGGAAACAAGACAGTCAACATTAGAACTACTGAGAAAAACCACAGACACACACTAAAGCAGCAAGACCTTACCCCAAACCAAGTCCACAAGCCTTTCCCATGGTTCTGCAGCCTGGTCAACAGAAGAGCAGCTGAATGAATTAGGAACGTCCTTGTTTGGTATTTATTGGAACCTTTGACCAATCACTGCTTACTGAGCTGATTGTCTGCAGGTGCAGCTCAGGTGGAGCCTGGGTGGAGCCTCTGATGTTTATGAGCTAGAGAACAGAAGACCTCTGCAACTGTCCATTCATTTCAATTCAACCTCACTACTGACCAGTTTAAAGGCTGAATGCAGACCAGATGTTTTAATCACAACAGCTTCTGTAAAGAATATCAATGCAGTGTTTCCCCTAGGAGTTTTTCCAGCTGTGGTGGTGGTTCTTTGCACAAGAATAAATTTTGTTTTAAACTCTCAGTGACACACTTTGCAGGGGGGATTTGGCATTTAATTTTTGTGGGCGTCTGGAAAAACATCTCCTTCTGCCCCCTTTATTTGGTCCTAACTTGGCTGGCCCTATTAAACACGTTCTACACCCCTGCTTAGTAGACTTAATGAAGTATTTTTAAGCCAGTATAAAAATGACTGAAACACACATTTACATATTTGGCATTATTGACCAATATCTTTGATTTAATGTATTTGTTAAGAACATCAAGATGCATTACAGTGAACATTATAATAAAGTACATGTTTCTAGTGCAGAGAGGAGACAACCCATAGAAGCACTGATGTGATCTCATTTCAGAGAAAAATAGAACAGGTCAGATGCACCTAATAAATAAAATTACTAACATAAACTCAGGAATCTGTTTCTTTGCTTCATTGTTGTGGTGCTGAAAACGTCACTAATGCGGATCAAAGGAGATACACAGATGAATGCACCTCTTATTTATTATTTAGAAATTAGTGGATGTGGTTTACATCAATACACTATTTTAAATCTGAAGCTGATATGGGTTGATCAGGAGTTGTTATGTGTATTGTTTATTAGAAAACTATTTACAGAGCAGCCTCAGAACTGAGATTAAATATGTTTGATCACAATAGTCAAGAAACTATTACAGAACAAGTTTTTCAGTAAAATCAGAACATTAATATTTAAGTGCATGAATTAATGCATCTGAACTCATGCAGTAGGAAATATGAAATACTAGAACCAGACACTTTTTTTATTTTAATTTGACTGAACTGAGTTTTTCCTAACGTTGTTGACATTTTCCCCACACACAGTTAAACAAAACAATGTTGATTAAGGTAGGTGTGTGTGTGTGTGTGTGTGTGTGTGTGTGTGTGTGTGTGTGTGTGTGTGTGTGTGTGTGTGTGTGTGTGTGTGTGTGTGTGTGTGTGTGTGTGTGTGAGAGAGAGAGAGAGAGAGAGAGAGAGAGAGAGAGAGAGAGAGAGAGAGAGAGAGAGAGAGAGAGAGAGTTAAAACAATTTTGAAAAAAAACCCGACCGGAGTGGAGGCAGTGACCGACTCAACACGAGCCGTTTTCAGCTCTGTCGTGTCAAATGCATCACGTACGTTACGAAAAAAGTAAATTTCAATATTCAACCAAAAAATAGGCGAGCTGAAGAAAACCTAGGGAGCTCTGAAGAAACATGAGCAACAGTGAAGCAAGCACAGAGAGATCCGTTACTGTGTGTGTGTGTGTGTGTGTGTGTGTGTGTGTGTGTGTGTGTGTGTGTGTGTGTGTGTGTGTGTGTGTGTGTGTGTGTGTGTGTGTGTGTGTGTGTGTGTGTGTGTGTGTGCGTGCGCGCGTGGGCAGAACTGAGCTTCCGGCTGCAGAGTTTTGTGTAGAGGGAGGGGCGGGCGCTCTATGTGACTGGCCAATCACAGAGCGTGAAGGCAGTCAGTTACCCAATGAGGATTTTCCTTCAGCACGATTACAGATATTTACGAGTTTTACTCGTTTCATGCTCGTATTCGTTAAAAATGCTTTATCCGTACCGGATACTCGTGTATCCGGCTCATCCCTAGCTGTAACCACCCTGCCCTGCCTCCTCCTCCTTGCTGCCTGCCGGCTGTGATCACAAGCAACAACAGAGTAGTTCCCGCTGCTTCTTCGGAAAACAGCTCAAAAAAATAATTTGTTTTTTATCTATAAAACGGGATCTTGTAGGCATGGCGCTGGGATTTCAGCCGTGGCGGGCCGCCACGGCTACGCCTATGACAGGGAAACACTGCAATGTTAGAATTTGAATACACCTTCCAGTGCTACTTGGACACGTCATCAGTGAAGAGCCCGGGGTCATAGGGTGTTTCGGGTCTTTAATCTTCATACACCCTCATCCGGGTGACCCAGCTGGGGGTGATCAGTCCCCAGCTTATGTCCAAGTGGCCTATTGCTCCACGGATCCCCCCTGCAGATCCACAGCCACCGCAAGGCCCTCTCTGCGGCCTCGAGGATGGTTCTGGTGGCTATCTTCAGTTGCAATGCTTAATGATAAATGACCCGCACTTGTATAGTGCCTCTCAGAGGAAGGACTCCAAAGCGCTTTACACTAAAGTGTATCATTCATCCATTCACACACACATTCACACACTGACGGTGATGAGCTACGATGTAGCCACAGCTGCCCTGGGGTGCACTGAATGAGACGAGGCTGCTGAGCACAGGCGCCACCGGTCCCTCCGACCACCACCAGCAGGCAAGGTGGATTAAGTGTCTTGCCCAAGGATGCAACAGCAGAATTCTCTGTCTGGAGCCGGGATCGAACCTGCAACCTTACGATTACTGGAACTGTTGAGCTACTGCTGCCCCATGTCCTCTTACTCCACGGAGTTTGAGGGTTCGCAGCAGTGAGTGGCCAGCAAAGCCTCGGCACCCAACCTTGACAGGCTCACAGCGAACTTTCCAGCCGTTGTTCAGGCACTCCAAGCTCAGCTCTGCATACTTGGCCCTCTTTTGCTCGTTGGCCTCTTCGATATGGTCTTCCCAAGGGACTGCTGCAGCTAGAATTCTGATGAGAACTAAAAAGAGAGATCATATCTCTCCTGTCTTAGTTTCCCTACATTGGCTGCTTGTTAAATTCAGAATAGATTTTAAGATCCTCCTTCTCACATACAAAGCTCTTAATAATCAAGCTCTACAATACATCAGTGATCTGATTGTTCCATATGTTCCTAACCGAGCACTTCGCTCTCAGACTGCAGGTTCACTGGTGGTTCCCAGAATATCTGGCAGATCTTTTATCTATCAGGCTCCTCTCTTGTGGAACCAGCTCTCAGCTTTAGTCCGTGAGGCAGACACCTTGTCTACTTTTAAGAATAGGCTTGAAACATTTTTATTTGATAGGGCCTATGGTTAAAATCTGATGTTAGCCTAGATCTGGACAAGTGGGGGAGTAGAGGGAGGTGGAGTGTACAGTCGGTAAAGGCGGCTCTCCCTTGCCCTGCCTCCAACATGCCTCCATGTAAAAGGCTAGGTTATCCAGAGTTATCTCTGTAGTTATGCTGCTATAGGCTTAGAATGCTGGAGGACACACTGACCACTTTCCACACTCTACTGCTTTCTTCTACAATCTGCTCTTTAACTGTATTATTTCCTGCTATTTCAGCTGTTAACTTTATTTTTTCTCTAAGTGTTTTTCTCCCCAGAAGAAGCTACAATGATGTTCTGCTGAGCTGTGGTGGCCTCATGGAGGGGGTCATCGTCTTGAACACTGCTGCTAACCGTTTAAACATTTTACCTCTGGAACCTGGCGTTAACTAGCTGGTGGAATGCTGAGATCCAGCATTCTACCAGCCCTCGCCCCCTCAGGAGGGGAGGCCCCCCAGTGCTCCGAGTCTTTCACCTCCTTCTCCCTAATTACACTAAATGACTTAACCTCAATAATCAGTCAGATGAAACTCTCATCATGCTCTTCAGATATCTTAACTCCCTCTGTTTTAGTCGGGTCCCTTGCCTCTATCAGTCCATCTCTGTTGACTATAATCAACAGCTCACTGAGCCAAGGCTGTGTTCCATCTTACTTTAAAAATGCAGTAGTGACTCCTCTCTTAAAGAAACCCAACCTTGACGCCAGCTCCGCCAGTAACTTTAGGCCCATTTCTAAGCTACCTTTCATCAGCAAAGTACTTGAGAAGGTTGTTGAAACCCAACTCAGATCCTGGTTTTCTAAGTCAAAGATCTCTGACCCCTTCCAATCTGGCTTTCTGAAGCAGCACTCAACTGAGACTGCTCTAGTAAGGGTGCATAATGACCTCCTGATGGCTGCTGAAATGCTCTGTCATGGTCCTGCTAGACCTCAGTGCAGCTTTTGACACTGTAGACCACAATGTTCTACTAAACAGGTTAAAGGCCCTGGCTGGGATTTCAGGTTCTGCTCTAGACTGGCTCTCTTCTTATCTCACTAACAGAACATTCACAGCGAAGTCAGAAACCTTCTCCTCAGACACTGCCTCTCTAACCTGCGGGGTTCCACAAGGTTCAGTTCTAGGGCCTCTACTATTCGCATTCTATATTCTTCCCCTAGCTGGCATCATTCAGTCTTTCCCAGACATCTCCTACCACATCTACGCTGATGTCATTCAGCTCTATATGTCCTTTATGCCACACCAGTTGGACAGGCTGGCCACCCTTGTACTCTGCCTGACCCAGATCAGTAACTGGCTGTCCAGCAACTTTCTTGTCCTCAATGCTAACAAGACAGAGACCCTGATCAATGCACCCCCGGAACTTCAGCCAAAAATCGAGCAAGAAATTGCCTCTTTTTGCCCATCAGCCAAGGCCAACATTAGAAACCTGGGAGTTATTTTTGATCCAGCTTTAAGTTTAGACTCACACGTCAAAACCATCTCCCGCTCTTGTTTCTTTCAACTGAGAAACATTTCAAAAGTCCATAAACTGGTTTCTACTGCAGATCTGGAAAAATCATCCATGCCTTTGTGTCATCACGCTTAGACTACTGTAACGCTCCTTTTACTGGTCTCAGCAAAACCTCCCTCTCACGCCTTCAAGCCATCCAAAATGCAGCAGCCAGACTCCTAACCAAATCCAGCAGACGAGCTCTCATCACTCCAGTTTTACAGTCCCTCCACTAGCTCCCCGTAGAATATAGAATACAGTTTAAAGTTTTAGTCCTGACCTATAGAGCTCTTAACAACCAGGCTCCAAGCTACCTATCTGAACTTTCATCCCCACACATCACCTCTCGGAACCTTAGATCCACATCTGAAAACCTCCTGGCTGTTCCTCGAACCAGACTGAAAACCAAAGGGGACAGGGCCTTTCAGACTATTGCACCCAGACTTTGGAACAGTCTGCCTTC